AATATATATATATATATATATATATATATATATATATACACGTAGAGAGTGAGTTAGATAGATAGAGAATAAGAGAGAGAGAGAGAGAGAGAGAGAGAGAGACATTAAATTTAGAATTTGTATTTTCACTTATTACAAAAATTATTTAACAATATCAATAAATTAATGTAAATAACATATAAGATATATATTTTAGTGAAACAAAGTTTGCTTCAAAGAATGTAAACGCAATTAGTTATCTATATATATTATTTTTATACATAGATAATTATGTTTTATATATGAAATTGCTAAATCTATCTCACAGTGTCTTATTTTTAGGGCGACAGTGGCGGTCCTATTTTTTACAATAATACGCTTGTCGGTATTACTATGGGCACTTGTTTGTATAATGGACAACCTGCACATCCAGGAAAAATAAACCTTCATTGTGCAATTTCCTATTACCAAAGTTTTATTACAGATTTTTTAAATAATTCAAATTCAAATGATAATAAATTATAAATTCATGTAGAGTATAAATTTCAATAAAATTTATATAATATTTTAATATTTTGGTAATTCGATATTTTATTTATACATTTATGTAATTTTTAATAATATAATAGTTTAATTCATTATAAAATACGTACACTTATGTAATTTATTATACTCGAAAGCTAACTAAAGATGTAATCTATAAATTTATATTATATCGTATGCCTTCACGAATTCAGATTTTATGATCAATTTTATTTTTTAAATAAAATTATAGATAAATTCTTATAATAATTCTTAATTGTTTTTTATATGACAATTTATCAGTTTGCTATAATGTCAAATTAAAAATATAAATTTATAAAATTAATCAAATTATTATTTTTCTTAATAAATGAATGATTTATTAATTAACTTAATAAAGAATTGAAAATTTTATGTAATAGGCATCGAGTAAATGCTTTAGTTTTATTCGCTATCGTATAATTCGCTAATATATTTTTGAATTTTAATTTTTTTCACAGATTATACTTAATATATAAATATATATATATAAGCTACTCAAGTATTCAGCGATATATGTATTCTTATTCTAATAGATTATAATTCAATCTATTTCGAATGATCATTAGTATTAACTAAAGTTATAATATATTAGAGATAATAATGTAGATATCGAAATATATATCATAAGTTAACTTGAAATGAAAATGATGTGATACTGGAAAAATGTAAGCAAATTTGTTTGTGAGTTAGTATTTTTATCTATATATTATTTCACATTATATGCACTTTTTCATTATTGATTTTATTGATATGACACTATAAATTTTAAATTGGTACAAGAAACACATTTGTAAAATTGTAAATTTTTTTACATCCGACAAATTGAGTTAAATAAATTTATTTATATCTAGACAAGGTATATTATAACATACATAATGAAGTTCAATGGTAAAAAATAATTTATAACATACAATAAAGATTAAAAAATTCATTTATATAGTTTGATAATTATTCACTATCTGTGTATAAAAAGTTCTGTATATAAAAAAGTAAAAATTTTACTAAAAAATTATTATTAAATATTAATATAACAATATTAAAAACGATAAAGATATAAATAAATTTGTTATCAATTTATAATTATAAATATTTAATGCTGTTTGTGATACTGAAATTTTTAATTCTTTCGTTAAAAAATTATCTAACGAACGATAAAACGCAGTTAAATATTAATTATAAAAAATAAAATTTTTGAGTCTTTATTTTATAATGATTTGTGTATGTCGCATATACTCTATGTCGTTGAATAATTTATATAATAGTTGATCGGAATTTAAATATGTACGTTTTTGAAGTTTGTTACAAATTAAAAATGTAATGTGTACAACAATTACTAAACTATACAAATTTATTGTGATAAAAAGATTCTTTTCTAATCAAGGGAACACATTTTCTATATAAAAGAAAAAACAAACAGAATTTATTGAAGCTCCCCATAATCACTTGAGATACTTATTATTATATTATAATTTAGGTATCTAGAAAGAAATATTAAGTATAAAATAGAGTGAGAGGAGAGGAGCGCGGGAAGAGAGGAAACTAGTTTTTTTTTTATAATCAATTTATATAAATGTAGTAATACTGTAATCGAATATAATTTGCAATCACATCTACATTCCAAACGTCATTAATTCTCAAACTATATAACTACGCTGCTTAAACAAATGATAATAATGTAATATTTTTAGTCAAGTGATGTAAAATTATAATAAGATTTTATTTGTAAATTTTTTTATTACACACGTTTATATGCATTATTTATATTTCAAAAATGTACTATGGAATCCCTTTTTTTCGAATCTTAATATTGTATATGAATGCCATCTAATAAATAAATAATAGAAATATACACTTTGTTAATATTCCAGTTATGTCAAATATTTTAATCTTTAAATAATCAATTTAGCTTCATAAACGGTAATATTCGGCAAACGTAAGAAGAAAAGCAAACAAGAGTTTTATTTTGTCGTTACGCTGCTCTACGTAAATATTCAATCATTTCATTTTTTGTTAGTTTATTTTCTAGAAAGATGATTTAAATACCGATTAGTGTACTACAGATCGTATGCAGATTGATAATATCTAATCAGTGAACTGAAAATGAGAATATGAAAGGAATTCAAAACAATCATATGACTATTGCAAAAATATATAGATAAATTTGCTTATTTACGTAAATGCAAATAATCAATAAATAGAACAAAAATCTTTTTTTTTATTAATAGAATGATGGTAAAATTAAAATTTTCTTCACCAAATATTTTTTTTTTTTATTTTTCCAAAACATCAATTCCAGAAAAGAACAATTCTACCATTTATGGACCAATCACTTACTTTAGAAATAATTTTTAAATTCTGCCGATCGAAGAGTTTGCAGTACGTATCAACATTGTCCATAAAAAATCCATTTGTTTAAATTCAAGATTATTTTATGGTACATCAGAACGAACTTCACTATTACGTTGCACGAGTATAATTTTAATAATCTGAAGAACCTATGTTCGGTATTATAAATTCTAATCTCGTCTTTTTAATTCTAAAAAATTCTAAAATATAAAGATCATTAACTGAATTCAAAAAATATCAAATATTTATTATTTATACTTTCTGTGATATATATATATATATATATATATATATATATATATATATATATATATATATATTGCAAACAAATTCATGTTGTATTCTTTAGTAAGAACAGATGATTAGATTTCTATGAGAATTAATTAAATGGAAAAAAGCTTTATGTAAAATTATAAAAATTATACTAATATCATTATTATTTTTTGTGGTTACTTATTCTTTCAGGTGTTACTTTATACACAATATAAATTTGAAAAAAATTTTTATTGACAGCTGAAATAATGATACATTACATTAAAAATAAAAAATTATCAGAAAAAATTCATTGGAGGAATAACATATTTGTATACTTATAAAAATACCGAAATAATACTTTCGCACAATTGATACATTGACATTTACAACTTTATGTTTTAAACTAGAAATCCATATTGCAACTTTTTAAAAATGTTTTATAAATCAATAATACTTTATTAAATTTTAAAATACGACACGATTAGTTTACTAAAATATTTACAGGTCTATATAAGTGATTGTATACTTACAAAACTAGTATGATGTTTATATTAAATTTACGTATACCATTTCCTTTTTCCTTATATATCTCTCACTCTTTTAGTACGCACTATCCTCCCCTCCACTTCATTCAAGAGAAATTCTCGGAATCCATGAAAGAATCGTACGTGGCTTAGCAGAGATCGATCCCTCTTCATCGTCCCAGTCGATGGATACCTCGGATTGTCCATCCATGCAATTTCAAGCATTGAACAGACTCAATATTGTACTCGAGGAACATATAATTTTATATAAGGATATATAATATTCGTATCTACCATAAAAAAAAATGTTATTACAATCTATTATCCTCCCTTGAATCTCCTTATATATATATATATATATATATATATATATATATATATATATATATATAGAAGAACATTGATCTATAACATCGAAATTCAGATCTCGTCCATTAGGATCACCGAGCAGGACTCGTTACGTTATACTCGGACAAGTTACTAAGTTACAATATCGGATATCATAATCAATCGATATACTAATCAATATCGAGTATAATAAATAATTGTATTACGCCGATTGTATTAAATGATAAAGGTAAAGTATCTTCTTGAATTATTTTCTCGACAGGCGAACTCATCGAGGAAATGGGCTGTTGACAACTACTTACGGATGATACCATTTCAAATTTTTACGGAAAATTGATTTTCAAATGACGAATTGTATTCTGACGATTACAGTTCGAAAGTACAGTGACCAAGAAAACTGGAAACATCAATTGGCTATAGGCGCAATTTGAGCGCCGACCTTACAAATTGAGTGGATATTATCAAATTCAAAGTGATCTCATATAAAATTAGTTTGCCACGAAATTAAAGGACTATTTAGTTTATAAAATTACACGATATCACGATAAAGAATTATCGGTAAGGTGGTCGAAACGTCTATGAAATTTTTTTTCCACGAGCGCTGACCACAAAAACGCTATTTGACACAGCATGTCTACATCACGGATGGAAATCAAATTAGGAAATAAAAATGGATGGAGGTAAAATAGCGTTTTTATAATAATATTAATAAGTGACGAAATTATCCACATGACTACTTAATAAGCTGTAAGAGACCATTACTAAACTATAATACATTGCGAGATCGCCAAAGTTCTTACAAACGTTTTGCCCACGTCTTTAGGGAAAATCGGAGACCAAAAGCTGATCGAAAGATCGTGACGGTGTCTTGTCTTCTCTCTTCTTTCATTTCTTTTGTTCCTCTTCTAGTATTTTTTATTATTCTAGCTTATGCTCGAATTATATCGAGCTTATTGTCAACGGCCTTTCGCCGTTTTGATAAGAAAACAAAAAAATTTGATTTTCCATTATCATCATTTTGACTCAAATTAATTTTTCCTAACATCTTTTCATTAAAAATAAATTATTTTTTTTGTAAATAATATATATATATAAATAGTATGTATGAAAATAATATAGAATAATTCAAACTTTATTTATTTAAAACGACGTGAGTGCTAGTTGTCAAGGCAAAAGCTATTTTTGTTGAAATGGCTTATCTTATCACCAAACATTGTCAATATTTAATCAAAAATTTTCAAAAAATTTTCAAATATTGAATTACATATTAATTATAACGATTCTAAAATAGATAGTGGCTTGCAACAATTATTATTAAGGCATGCTTTTTCATCCTTTTATGTTTAATTTATCTAATAGTAATCGAATACATATAAACATTATCGCTTCCTAATTGATAAAATATTTGAGTAAACTATTAAAAACAATCAGATAATTAAATTTTTTTCAAAAATATGGAAATATATCAAAGCTACTATTCACTATATTTTATGCACACAAATTGTTTGATTAACATTTTATCATTACAATAAAATAATATTCATCCAAATTGTATCCGTATAATATATATATATATATATATATATATATATATATATATACACATATATATATTAATAACTTGTAACTCAGAAGTTCGAATTAAAAATAACTATAAGAAAAACATAACGTAATAACATAATACAACAAATTAAAATAAATTCACGATAAGAGATAAAAATATTTTATATATATATATATCGCTATATTTGTGTAAAGAAATATTATTTCATAATACTCCATTTAATAAAAATAGTATAGATCGAGGAGTGAGTACATAAATTTAAAACTTTAAGTATACGTCAACTGAATTATATAAATATAATATATGTAAGCTCTAAAAATTCATTTTAAATACTTAAAAAAATTTCTTTTAAACAATAAGAATAAATAATCGACTAATATCTTTAAATTATATCTTGATTGAAAATTATATTACATATATAATTGTTAAATTTCATTAATCATGCGATGAAAATCTTCCTAACAAGAACATAATTATTTATAACACAAACATTATAATTTTTATAAAATGACTTATTAACTTTTTGTTTTTAGTATTTATATTAGTCTATAGATTTAACTAAGGAGAAATACTTAAAAATAGTTATATTATAGTTACTATTAGTACTTATATTATTATTAATTGTTTTTAAACTACTATACCTACTAAATGATAACTAATTTGTTTAGATTTTCAATTTGTAGTAAGTTATATGTACGGATTTTCTTTTATTGTAAAAGTATCAGCCCAAGCCTATCAAGTTTAACAAGTGATATTAATATCACTCGAGTTGCCATATCTAATACGGAAACGAATAGAATATAAGAAAATGTATTTACATAAATTGAACAATATCTTTATTAGCATAGCGAATTTATTTATTACAATAATAGATTATCAAATTTTAAGTGCTAACATATGTTCAGTAACGAAGATAACTGAGCATGATAATGATTAGTATCGGTACATAATTATCAAGAAAATTCAAATTAATTTAGTTAAATAGATATTAATGATTATAAATATTCTACCCAACACATACTGTCTCTAATTTATATTATTTATCATAATTAAATTTAATTTCAAATGTAAATGAGAAATGTTGATGATTCAATCATAAAAAATATATTATAATATATTATAAATATGCTAAGTATGCATATATTAGCATATATATATATATATATATATGACTGCTGCGTATTTATAGTAAAAATATAGAAATACTTAGGAATAAAAAGTATATACTTTGATTTTTATCGATTAGTTGGGAATATATTTTTTTATAAGTCACATTACAAATCATAATTGCAAGTGATTCTTTATATCTAGAGTTTATTAAATAAAAAAGATTTTCATGTATTTCAAACCAAACTATAAAAATATGAATTTTCAGTTTTCTATCGTATAATCATATTTCATATTCGATTTATTATGTAATAAATTACGTGCCGTAGTATTATTCTCTTATAAGTCTGAATTAATGTATTATAAATCTTATTACAAATTAATATTTTCAGAATGGACTTCAAATCACACCTTTTTCTTGTTCTATATATAATACTTTGTAAGTAACAGAAGGATTTCGTTTAAAAAATATAGAAAAATTTTTCTTTTATATTATTATAGAATGATACCGATAGCTTTACGCAAATAAAAATAACCTCTCATCTTTATTTTTTAGATAATCAAAGTATTTTTGGAAATGTTGAGGCTTTAATCGGAGAGAACGTTCGACAAGTAACGGAAAGAGAATTTCCTTTTGTAGTTGTTCTTGCATTACTGCATACAGATGATACATCATTCATTAAGCCATTCGGCACCGGAAGTCTCATTACAAATCGAGATGTCATAACTTGCCGGCACTGTTTGGCCGATAAAACATATAGTTTGGTGCGAATAATGGTTGGATCAGACGATATTAGATTATGTACCGGATATGGTATTTATTGGACACAGTGGTATGAGGATTGGGCTCGGCACAATAATGTTCCTCTTATTGATGATCAAAATGATGTTTCGATAATAAGGGTAAAGTATTGTTTCTTTTCTATATATGTATTTATATAAAAATATAAGCGGTAATCGAAAAATTGAGTGAGGGATTATAACGACGATAATAATAATAATAATAATAATAATAATAATAATAATAAAATGTAGTAGTAGTAGTAGTAGTAGTAGTAGTAGTAGTAGTAGTAGTAGTAGTAGTAGTAGTAGTAGTAGTAGTAGTAGTACAATTTATAAAATGATTAGATATTTCATCCAAAAAAAATACGTATATGTATAAATGCATTTCTTAGAGAATTCGAATATTATATTTACTATAAACGAAATATTTCATTGACTGATTACAAAACTTCAGTTTTAAAATTTTTATCGACAATACGATCGCCTATCACTATTTTACAGTCCTCCTTCGAATATTAATTCAAAAATTCTTGGCACTTTCCACGTACTGTAGTAAAACTTTAATAATACTTTATTTAAATTATCAAAGTATAACAAAGATTTATTGTTTTAATCGACTTCGCTGAAATCTAATGAACAAACAATAATCGCAAAATATTAAAAGAAATATAATTTTTAGCTGTCCGAAGCAGTACCGGATGACATTAAACCAGTAGCTCTGTCTACATTGTCAAATGGCGAATTATTCGATAAGGAAGTTTCACTAGCTGGATGGGGTAAAAAAAATGAAACAAATATGCCTTTAATTATGGAAACGGCTACTATTAAAATATTAAGTAAGACAGAATGTGAAAGAAGGACGAAAATTGCTTGTGGGAAAAAATTACGTTTTCATAGGAAATTTTTGTGTTCTTCTATCGTACCCTATGTTTTCCTGTCTGATGTAAGTACACATTGTTTTTACAAATATATTTATATTTTCTTTTTCTTTTATATCAAAGTATCCATAAATACTGTAACAGCAAATTATGCCACTATTATATAGGGAATCAAATAATGATTTAAAAAAAAAAAAATATATATATATATATATATATATATATATATATATATATATATTATTTCATACGTATAAAATATTAAATCAAAATTTTGATTGCAGTTAATTAGATTACAAATTGTACAATTTGTATATCTTATATGCACAGAAAATATATTTAAAATCTGTATATGAAATCTTATTAGGCTACGGATGTAACTTATATTTATACTCGAAGAACAAATTAACAAATTAACAAATTCATGTTAATTGTACTGGAAATGAATAATATAATTCATATGATTTGTCCAATTACGTTGATTATTATTGATTTTATATTTTTAATCGTATCAATTGAATAATTATTATTTAGACAATCTAGAAAAATATTGAATTTGAACTATTCTATAATGATAATATTTTATTGAATTTATTTTAAAATTTAATTCTTCTTTTATTTTATTTTACCTTATAATTGCCAATTATTTTCATGATTAATTACATTCTATCAATTATTTAATATTAATTATTTAATAATATTTTTAATTAACTGTTAAATAATAAAATAATATATTTAAATTTATAAAAAGTTCAATTTAATAAAAATTGTATTTGTTAGATAAAAATATTTTTGGCTAAACTTTTATACTTAATTAAATAAATATGTACCTTATATATGTTTATTAATAATACATTTATTGTTATTATTAGGGTGATAGTGGTGGTCCAGCTGTGTATAACAATACACTTATTGGTGTTAATGCCGGTTTATGTTTATATTCAGATATACCGGTTCACCCAGATAAGCTTAATTTACATTATGCAATTAGATTCTTGAAAAGATTTATTATGGATTGTATAAATTCTGATTGATATTTATTATATTATAAATTCCTATGAAATATCAGTATATATATATATATTTGAATAAAATAATATATCTTAAATTTCTTCAACAATAAGACTAAGTTATACATGTACTTAAGAAATGTGCACATAAATATATAGAAATTTTGTATTAATTAAAATACAAAGTAGTTTTTTATTTAAAAAAATTTAGTTATTTTATTCCGGTAAGTATGCGTATTACTTACCTTGCTATATTACAATATAACATTTCAGGATATTCATTACCGTATCTAGTGCATCTATTGTGCATATAATCAATGTATATATTTTATTAAAAATTTAATAGTATTCTCCGCAGGAAATGACAAAGATTGTTTATAAAATAAATTTTTATTTATTTTTATATGAATTATGTTGAATTAGAGATAGTCTTACGTTTATCTATACGTTTTTATTAACCTATTCATTTTGATAATACCCCTAGGAAAAACACGGATCGTATCACTGCTCAAATAATAAATATTACATCACCGTTAAGTCGTAGGCTAGTGGTAAACTTAAAATTCTTATTCGAATGAAATTAACAAGTAAGACTTCAATAATTAAAAAATTAATTTTGAGATAAAATTACTATAGGGTATGAAAATGGGATTATCATTACCGTGACCAATGACCATAAAATATAGAGCATATAGAGCAGGAAAATTGATATTAGTGAATTAAATGATTAAATGATTGCTTTTATTATGCTTACTTTTCCAGTTTATTATATGTTGTTTAAACAGCTGAATGTTAGGAAAAAAATTTAATTTAGCAAATATAATAAATGATCAATGGTTTAATTTTATTACAAAATATATTGTCGCTTGTATTACACTAAATTGCGTTTGCTGAAATGTTTTATAGGTTTGACAAGTTTTATTATTTCTCATATAATTTACGCATCACCTATTTGGTGTATCAGGAACAGTATCCTGATATTTCGGCGACAGGTTTAATTATCCTTATGTGTCGAGCATTATACGGTAGCCTTAGCTACTGCTCGAGTGGTAAGTTCAGCTCTTAGCGACTGTTATCGTTGTTTATTATCGTACAATTTAAATTCAATGCATTTAAAGTATTAAGAAGTAAATAAAGAAGTAAGCTCGTAAGCTTTCATGAATGATAAGCTTAAAGATTTCATTAAATAGATTTCCGAACTTTTTGTTCTTTTGAGTATACCAGGAGCAGCTGGTTTAAATCGTTGCCACAGTTTTCTGAACGTGATTGGTAAGTGATTTACAATAATATGTAATGATTTATAATAATACATTTGCATTATAAATAAAATTATGGATTTAATTTTTGCAATTTAATAATCACAAATAAATCATCGCTAATTTTGTAGTCACCATCAATATGAATGAAATTGAGAATATTCTTTTAGAATATCAGTCATTCGTTTTTATGACTACATTATCCGATACATAAAAAAGTAGCAGATTTTCATTTTATTATGAGATAATTATCTTCCAGAACCGAAGTTTATTTCGTACTTTTCTAGACAATGGAAATACGTCCAGCAAATGAAATTATGAATTCATTTGTGAATAATTTTTAATGAAAGTAATTAGCAATTCTAGTTAACTACAGACGTATAAGCAGAAAATAAAAATTTGTTTTTTTTTCTATAATATATTTTAGTTTTAATACTTTTATTTTATTAATATAAAATCATTTTCTATAGTATTTTATGATATATATATTTGAAAGAACATTGGAAAGAAGAAAATCGAGATAATTTGCTCTAACAGCTAGAAAAATATTCCAAAAATTATCATGCTTATTGTTACATGATAAATTAATTATTTGCATAAGATTATATTTATTTATTGAACAGGATTGTAATTGATTTGTATAAATATATATGGATATATATATATATATATATATATATATATATATATATAAACATATAAATATATAAATATAAAAAATATAAATAAAAATATGGAAAAACATGTACGAGTAAATTAATATTAATTAATATTAGATTGTATAGTTCATATAGTAAAGTAAATCGAGATATTCATAAGCATTAAAATTTAGTCATTAATTAAATTGTTAATTTACTAGAAATATAGCAGTACATGTACATTATGCTATTAACTAATTTGTTACTTTTCTATAATCAATGAGGTTCAATAACGATAGAGTTTAGTTTCAATTTAGACTAAAAGCTTTAGATTTATCATTGCAATAAAAAATTATCTAATACCGAATTTTGTTTTCAGATTCCACATAATTTACATATAATTATACATCACAATGTACATATTATTATCATTAATAAATTCATACTAAATAAATTCGTAGGGAAGATAGGATTCTTGAATATTTAAAATTCAAATCATCGCCTTATAAAAACGTTATTTAATTACATTCTATATTAATATTCAATATTATTCATATATTCTATTTTCTTAAAAAATAATATTCAATATGATTAAAAATTTTTTAATGAAAATACAAAGCCTCCTAATAGATTATTTATTAATTTACGTGTCATTAGAAATTTAAGTTATTATATTTTCATCTTTTTATAAAATTTACAATTAGAGAATGAAGTTTCTTCTTGTTCAATGTATAATATTTTGTAAGTATTAATATAGTGATTTATTTTTATTTACAATGTTTTGTAGACCATCATATCCATATATTATTATAATAATTGTATTTTATGTTTTATGTGAGATCATCAATACAACTTTATAAATGGTAGCCCAATAATCGGAGAAAATGTTCGAGGAGTTACAGAACGTGAATTTCCTTTCGTTGTACCTATTGTTATACAATATGAACGCTCATCTATGCCAAACAAAAATCGCTTCTGCATTGGAACAGTCATATCAAATCAAAAGATTTTAACCGCTGAACATTGTCTACTAAATATTGAAATCCACAGAATCCGCATATATGTTGGATCACATAATATAAAAATAGGGATTAAATACAATGTTTACTGGCAATTAACATTCACAAATTGGGCTACGTACGAGAATTATCCTATTTCCTTTAACTTTAATGATATTGCTATTATAAAGGTAAATATAACTTAATAATATTAATAGACATTGGTAAACATTTTTATGTAATAATATAAAATTCATAATAAATAAATGAGGTAAATATGCGATATTTGTTTCGTCTTTCATGTCATCGTTCAAATAGTAAATTCGTATATAAAATTAATCATGGAATTATACAGATAAATATATTATTGTAAATTTAATTGCAATTCATGTGGTTTATTAATTCATGATATCCAGTAGAACAGAATATACTTGTCATGGAAATTTTTCGTAATTTTTGTAGCAGTTTTTATGACTATTAATCATAACGTTATCGTTTTTTTAAATGAACTATTATTTATCCAAGTTTTCGTTATATAGATAGCATAATGTCATCATTTATAATGGTCAATATTTTAGAATCAATATCGCCTGTAACCCAAATACCAATTTCAATATACATTTAATGTAGATTTGAAAGACACGCGCACGCGCAGACGCACACACACACTAATACACATAAAAAAAAAGAAAAAAGGCATGAATTATTTTTATTAAGTCACTAAATAGGCGATAACGTAGAGTGAGGGGAAGTAAGTTGTTAAGATTGGTTGAAAACTGTGAAAATTCAATATTACCGTGATTTCGACTAAAAATATATAGTATGGAATATCAATAAAAATTATTATACAACTTGGAATTCAGTTAATTTTTCGATAATTTCATTTACCATAATTCGAAAATTTCTTAACGTTATGTATATAAATATTCTGTAATATCCATTATTATGCTAATATTATTATGTGTAAATTGTATAACAACGTAGATGTATATAATGCACCGTTTGTAAAAATTATGCAATCATTAATTTTTTGTATTGGAAAGTAATTTGGCAAACTACAATTCACATTTCATTTCAGTATTTAAGCTTTATAATGTATTAAATAAAGTATATTTTCCATTTACAAAAGTTTGTTTATCTTTTCTTATAAAATTATTGATAAAATAATGAGCTGCAGAACAATATATTAACATCGCATAACTTTGTAAGTCTTGAGCTTATTCATTATTTAATTTTTATTTAGACTTGTATGACTTAATACAAAACAGTAATATAACCAATATTATTATATTACTTACGGCATTACTCTAGACTTACAAATATAGAACCAGATGTACTCATATTGTGTTTTTAAACTTAATATTGCTTAAATTTTGCATTATCAACTTCAAGTGCATTTTTCGGTAAAATTATAAATTTCAGATAATAACATTTAACGGAACATTTGGTTTGGTTTGATAAGAACGTTAATGTGTAATGATATTTATTAATCAATTGACTATTACTGAAGCATTTCATACAAATCCGAATTTGTTTCATAATTGTTAAGTAAATATAATTCACTAATATAAATAATAGCTTGATGGCAGTGTGTGGGTTAATTGATTGCCAATGTTGTTGTGCATATAAAGGATGAAAAATAAAAGTTTAGGAAAATAAAATAACTAAATTATCAACGGTTCTCCATAATAATCAAATATTGATAATCACTCAATAGCTATTGATATTTTACTATTTTTAAAGTAAAGATTTATGATCTCATGAAATATTTAAAATTGAGAAAGTCTGATACTAATATTTACATATTAAATAACTAGACATATTAAATAAATAGACATATTAAATAGAATAAAAGTATCAAAAATAGGAGAAAGTTCAGTTGAAAATTCAGTTTTAAAAAATCTAGAAAAATGCGTTTTTTTTTTCTTCAATTTTTATAATCTTTCAATAGTTTGAATGAATTACTCTAACGGTTAAAGTAGGTAATACATGACAATGAGTTCTATAAATTTGGAATGAAAAATAAATAATTGTAGAAAAAGTTAATATGCTTCATTATGCTAAATTTCAATGATAATTTCGCTTTTAATACTAGTGTCCTTTTAATTAATAAAGATAGCTTATTCTATACATTGATACCCTATCTGACGTATAAATACGAATAATTAAAAAATATCTTAATTTCCTTCTAGACTTTTAAATTTACAAGAATAAACTAAAAGAGCTAATCTTTTACAAACAACGTACATACGTACGTAAATCAACAGATATAATTTCATCGGCTGGATGGAAGGATGAATTATTTCATTAATTTGTAATTTTCATTAATCCACATTAATGCAAATTTAATTATCTATCAATATATCAAATATACACATATGATTTATATTCTTGAAATAAATGATTTATTAGCCGGTATTTAAATTTGTATATCGTGTTTTATAAATGATCATTAGTAGGTCAGAATTAAAGCTACTCGACCGAACTTTTAATATGAATTTGCTCATACGAATGATTAAATAAAATTCAATATAATCAATGTAAGCCTGTGTATATAAACGTAAAGAAAAATAATGAAATTATTAAAAGTAAAATTAGTAATAAGTAAAATTTTCATTAAAAAATTCTAGAATATAGTGATAGACAAAAAAAAAATTATAATTTCTATTTCCTATTTGTATTAATAATACGTTCACACATTATTATTTGCCATTCCACATATACTATTGTCACGTATTCTAGTGAAATTTGAATGAACTTTAATTTAAATAATCAAAGTATAACAAACATTAAGTATTTTAATTATCTTCGCTCAAGTCTGATGAACAAACAATAGTCGCAAAATATTAAAAGAAATATAAATTTTAGCTGTCGACAACACTGCCAAATAACATTACACCAGTCGCTCTGTCTACATTGTCAAATAGCCAATTATATGGATTGGATGTTTCACTAGCTGGATGGAGTCGAAACAATTATGAAAGAATTCCTACTACTATGGAAACATCCTTTGTAACAGTATTAACATATCGAGAATGTAAGGAAAGGGTCCAAAGGCTTCAAGAATCTGGGATTACGATTCATGAAGGCATGTTGTGTACTGCTACTCAGCCATTCACATATTTAACATCTGTAAGAACATTTTCAACAAAAATATTAAATTTTATTTTAAGGAGGAAATTTATATATAAGCATTTATCTTCATTTGTTAAAATTTTAAATATTAAATTCAGCAATCGTAATATAGTATTTACGGAAGCTTGATAAACTTTTCAAATTATAAAATAGCTTAACTCTATAAAACAAATCTCATTGTATCAAATAATTTCTCTATTTGCATTAAAAATATTTACTTTAATATATTATTATCTACATAGTTTAAAATGGGATCGTTACGCATTAAATTCACTGACATTTCATTATATACAAGGAGCTTTTTGATTAAAAAATTATATCATGAAAATGTACATTATTAAAATTTATAGCATTATAATTGTAAAACACAAATGCACACACACGGGCCCACACAAGCTTATTTAATCTCAATTTATGGAAATCAGTTAAAGTTAATAAATTCATCCGCCATTAAATATAAATACTTTTTTCGGTAGCAACACGTGAAAATATATTTATTTAATAATATAAAGAAATAATTTTTCTTTTAGGGTGACAGCGGCGGCCCTGTTTTGTATAATAATACAATTGTTGGTATTAACAGTGGCACATGGTTATTTAACCAATCAACATATAGCAGAGATACAATAAATATCCATTTCAGTATTGATTATTATAGACATTATATCATAGATGTTTTACAAAATTATTAAATTATTTTTAAATTAATAGAAATATTAGAAAGTTAAATTATTCATCGAAAAGAATTTGTATTTTACAATTGCTTTAAAATTACAACAACGATATTTTTATGTATAAGATATTTAATACTTGTTTGATCAGGATCGAAAATATTTGAAATTAACTGCGATATAAATATTAAAATATATAGGATAATATCATAAAATCCATGTATACACAATTTTACATGACAATTCATTAAAAATAAAGATAAAATAAAGTCATTTCGTTTTTGACATGCTAAAGTAATGAGACATATGATTATAATTAAGTAATAACAAAAATATTCTTTAATAAAATAATACAATTTTTGCGTATTATGAAACTGTAATGTTCGCAATAAAATTACTAACAATCTATACTGATTTACTTAATTTTAAATATATACAACTTTAAATATAATAAGTCAAAACTGTCTTTTTAAATACGATATTCTTAGTTGTTTTTTTTTTTTGAATAATTTCAAAGCATTCTTTGTTACGAATAAAATAAAAAATGAATGATCATTATTATTATAAAAATAGTGTTAAGATATATAATCTAATACTTATAAATTTATTAAATTATTTTACTTATCTGTGTGTTATATCTTTCAAACTGTTGTACTACTCATATACCATTAATAATTATAAATATTTTACAAACATTATATATAATACATAATATAATAGTCTATATTAATAAATATACACTTGATATGGATGTAGCCTAAAGTATATCAAATACAAATATTCTGTAAACAAATACGATAAATGAAATACACATTTTCGATGTTACAAACAACGGATATATAATTTCTATTTATTATTTCATAACAAGTACTTTACTATGAATATTATAAATTTGTTCCTATACCCGTCACTAACCTGTTCAATATATATAAAAATTTATTTAATATTTATTCAGATTAAAGTGAACATAACATATGCAACCTAATTCTATGAAATCCTTTACGTACGAATTTTTCGTATCATAATTCTTTCGCAAATTAATTTTTTTCTTTATCATATTTATTTTTGAATTATTTAAAAAATACACACTATAATTTTGTTAATGACGAGCAAAAATAGTTAGATTATAATTTATTTGCATAAAATTGAAATTTTTCTTATTAAAGTAAGACTACTTGTAAAAAAAAAAAAAAAAATCTATACGATGTTAAGTAAATGAAATTATTATAGCAAATATATATTTGAATCACTGCACAAAATTATATTACATTTTTATAATAATTTATTAATACTTTAAAATAGAGTTAATTCTGAAGTAGTATAAACAGAAAAATGTTTGCTATTAAATTTCATCAACGATTTTTTAATTCAAATAAGTCGTATTAAATTATTAACTTATTTCTTATTCATAAGAAAAAATGTTATATATATATACAATGATTTATATCTTCATACTTCTAATGATTGCAATTAAGTAAATATGCATTATATATAAATTGATGTATAATGTAAAGGCAAGACTTTTATCAATTTTATTTAATATAGTACTATTAATAGATATTGGTTGGTTGAATAAGAATTCCTATAGTTTAATTTATGTGAAATGAAAAAAATAAAATCTATCTATAGTGTATTAGAAAATATTATATTATCTATATTATAAAACCAAATGCATAAAATTCAAATTCAATAAACTTTTTATTAAAATGTTTTTATTACATTAATAAAAGTATGCTTACGACATTACATAAATTAAAAAAAAAAAAGAAGAAGAATATTTAAATTATTTAAAAATATTTATGTATAAATATAACCATAAATTTCTAATAAAATATATATCAATTACTTGAATAAAAATAAAATAAAATAAAGGCAGGTGGCTTATTTCGTTGCATTAAAATTTGGAACATAAAAGTTTACGATTCACTATTAAAATTAAAAAAAAAAAAAAAAAACAATTTCTAAAATGCTCTTATTTAAAAAAAAAGCAATAATTCGTACGGCAACGACTCAGTAATGTATTGACATTTTTGTGAAATTTTTCTTGATACGTATTTTATGAAAGTATTCAAAATTATACTTCTTAAAGTTTCCTTTTTTATTTTCTTTATTGCTAATACATTAATATTTTATTACCGTAGTTTAAATCAGACGTTTTAAATTTTTACAAATATAGTCATAGTTCAAATTTTAATAAACATTTAGAGTTAAAAATATTAACTATAGTAATTCGTATTAATGGATCAAAAGGTTATTGAACCGAGAAGACAAATTTTTTTTATTAATTCAATAAAATAGATATAAAAATTTAGCCACTATATTTACTAAAATCTAAAATTCTCTCATTCATTTATATCAATAGATATTTCAATCAATAATTTATTTATATTCAAATATCAATTTATTTTTATTTATCTATTTAAATTGAATTAGTGGGCTGAAAATTGTTGAAAAATTTCTCCCCTTATCTTTCACCGATTTTGACTAGAGAAATAAATATGGACCCTACTGATCCATTACATCTTCCAAGTCTTTGTAATATAATAATTGCACTAAGTTAACTTCCTTATTAATAGTCCTTATTAATAAAGTTATTAAAAGTCGGATAAAATTTGAATCTTTTATTTATCATTTTTTCATGTAATAACTTTCGTTTACATTTTATTAAAAAACTAATATTATCCGTATTGATTTTGTATATAATGGCTCAACGTAGCATATACATCATCTATTCTATCATATACATATCCTCCTACATTTATATGTATATAAAACAATATACATAATTAGGGTAATGTAAAAATTAGTGTAAATATTAATTCTAATAATTAATTCTAATAATACAGGGTTGTTTTTATTGTTTAACTATTATTATTGTTTTAGAATGTGGTTTGCAATATACATATTTCTATGTCAATATACAATATTTTGTAAGTAACAAACATTTATGCAACTTTATATTAGCAGTAGACTGACAATTTATATAAACTAAGCTTACAACCTTATGCTTCAGGTGATTATTGTAATTATGTAGATGCAAAGGCGCTGGTTGGAGCAAACGTTAGACAAGCAAGGGAGGGAGAATTTCCTTTTATCGTAGCCCTTGCAAAAGTTAATCCCGAGAGGCCTAATGAAATTGCTCGATTTTGTTCCGGAACTCTTGTATCGGCTAATAGCGTTTTAACGGCTGAGCATTGCTTGATCGACGAAATTTTATCTAGCATTTTAATTATGGTCGGGGCAATTGATTTCGCACGTGGCGAAAAATTCAATGCCGAATGGTGGATGTCTTACACAAAATGGCACACCAAAAGTAATAATGCCTCGGGATCTCAGCTACACGACATTGCTGTTATAAGAGTAACGGACTATTATTTTCTCCCAAACAATGTTCAATAATTGGAATTAGAAATATTTATTAATTCTGCTATTAATTCTGCATCATTCATTTTTTGATTGTGTTTTAATATAGAAGTATTATGAATCAATTTAAGTCCAAAGCTTTTTTTCGATGTAACTTAGGAATCAGTACAAGATAAGATTAAATATTAGTTTACAACTAGTTTATAATAGTGATTTAAAAATGTATAATCTTTATGAATGATTATTAATTAATGTGAAAATTAATGTATAAATGTATATTTTCAGTTAAATAATTATGTATCAGCTAATGTTAAGGCAGCTAAAGTTTCACAGAAGCCAATAACCAGTTTTTATGGATTGGATGTTTCAATAGCAGGATGGGGTATAAGACTTAATGGCATTGTTCCATCTATTTTAGAAACAGTGACTTTAAACATTTTAAATAATAACGAATGCAAAGATCGGATAATGAAACTTCATAGACGAGAAATTAATATTGGTGTCAACATTTTTTGTACCTCTGCCGAACCGTATGCTTTGATGAGTCATGTAAGGATTGTTTGTCCCAAACAGATTTTTAAGTTATTTAGAAAAAGAAAAGGATAAAAAGCTATCAGAATCACAAAATATCAAATATAAATAACGATATAATGCTAATAAATAATTTTATTATTAAAACTGGCATATTGCTTGCAAAGTCGGTGATATTCTGATTACAAATGATTATAAATTTGGAGCATTTATAATTCAACATTCAATTAAATTTAATGAATATTAGTGGAGCATTATTGATAAATTTGAACTAAATAATTCAAAATCATTCTACACTTTTTCTATACATCCTCTGAAAGAATAATTTATGTCCAGAAATATATAAAAACTGAATGTTAAATGAATTCTTCTTTCAATTTATTATTTTACCATTATAATTCTATATATACAATATAGAATAATATTTTCAATCAAACATAAAGTACATAAATCATAATGTAGATATTAGAAGGTATTTATTTCTTATTTAATTATTAATGAATAATATAATTAATAAAAGTCTCATATATTAAAAACGTATATTAAAAATTATGTGCAGTATGAGTATTAAAATTATATATACGTAAACGGTAATTTCGGTAAATCACTTGAATAACATTAGCAGTCGGACAATTCGTTCAGTTAGATTTAGTTACTTTTTGTACTTCTAACACTATTTTCAGGGCGACAGTGGTGATCCAATTATGTATAATAATGAAATAATCGGTGTTAGCAGTGGATGTTTCAATGAGCTAAGTTTTCATCCAGATAAAGTCAATGTACATGTTCACGTTGCATATTATAGAAAATTTATTCTAGATATTATAAAAAATTTTTAAATTTTACTATTAAATGAAGAGCCATGGCTTTATTTCTCACAAAATATCGTAATTTATTTAAAGCTTGACAATTTACATGATCTAAATTATATACTTAAAATAATTAATGAAAATTGTATTAATTGATATTTGCTGACAATAAAAGTTTTTAATCAAGTTTTATGATTTTACAAGTACATTTTATATTCGCCATTTTTGTCCTATAAATATTGTAGATTACATTAATCTAGATCAATATTGATATGACCAAAGGTCTATTGTATGTATTTCAATAGAATAAAGTATTCACTTTTTAGCTAAACCAAATTACTTTTAATATCTTAATTTTTTTTATTGTCAATAGAATTTTTAGAAACATTCAGATTCAGTATAATAAAATTTGCCGTTGGTTTATAAATTCAAATTAATTATTTTATCAGTATTCAAAAAAAAAAAAAAAAAAAAAAAAAAAAAAAAAAAAAAATGGCAATCTATATTTATCTATTAAAATTAATTTCAATATGCATGAACACAGTTATCAATTACATGTTTGTAAAGCATTATTCGTTAATTTGAAAAGTTATATATTATATTTTTCAATTATACTTATAAAAAAAAAAACATATCTAATATTTACTTAAACAGAATTGTAAGTTTTGAAACTTGAACTGTCGAAAGCTCCTCTACCATGTTTTCATCGTCTCTTAAAACGAAAAGAATAAATAAATTGAACTGAATTGTTAATAGATTAACTTTTATATTATATTAAATTGAGATATCATACGATAAGAAATACATATACGTACTATACAATAAGGCGATATAATAAAATTTACTGTAATTAAGTACAAATAATATAAAATAATAAAAGAAAGGTAGTATCATTATATATATATATATATATATATAGGGGAAACTCAAAACTTTTGTGTATCTAAATATGAACTTATAATTTTCTCCGTATAAAATGTAAAATTAAATTTATAACCCAAATATAATATAAAACTAATATTTTTAATTACTTTATATCCAGATTATCAATAAACTACATCTATAGTAGGATCAAGGAATTTACAATGGTTGAGCTTTTTATAGTTCGTTCAAACAATAGTAAATCGCAAATTGAAAAATAACGAAAATGATGACGAAGTTTGTGACGCGCTTGAACGAGTTGACAATATAAACAAAATATTGACGAATACGGATACGAGGACACAAAAATATTCGTAAGATAGAGAGACGGAGAGAGAGAGAGAGAGAGAGAGAGAGAGAGAGAAATAGAGTGAAAGAGAGGTCAAGAGAGGGGGGGGGGAAGCGTTGATTTTTAATCACATCACATAATCGGTTATCCAGGTACATAAGCTCTTATATATTGTATTAGAATCTGTTTAAATCCATGATCTAAGAAATCTATAGACGCACAATTAATCTAGATAAGATTCAAATTAAGCCATACAATAGAAGCAACCAAGATTTAAAAATAGTTACCAAATGAAATTCATTGTACTATTCTCATTAATATAATCTAAAATCATACAATTAAATATTTCCAATTAATTTATATATAAATACATAATATTTATTTTATACACAAATACATCTTTTAATGGCAAACAATTGTACACAGACGCACACGCACACGCACGCACACGCAAACACACATATGTATATAGTAATATTAAAATTAATTTAATGAAAATTCAAATTCCAGTAATTAAATAAATTGAATAAGATATATATAAGTTTTAAATTATTAAAAATTATTTCCTAACGCGTAAAAAAATAGACATTGTTTAATCAAAGTCCGCGTAACATCAAAAATATTACATAAGATATTTTTATTCATGACGTTTTATTTAATCGTATATATTTAATGTAGATTATATTTGTGTACATGTAATAAGCAGTTGTGAAAATATATGGAAAGAAAATGAACAAACTTAATAAGTAAAATGTTTTCAGTATAAAAGTTGAACGTATCTATTAAATTATAAACATTAACTAAATAAAAGTCATTATTCATATAAATGATATCATAAAGTCATAAATTATTACAAATAAAAAATACCGTATTCAATAATATATATATATATATATATATATATATATATATATATATATATATAAAAGTAATTTAGTCAATAACAAAAAGGAAGAAAAAAGTAAAAAAAGAAAAAAAAAAATATTACTTATAATAATACAAAAAAAATAACGAATTCTAACAAAAAAAACATAAAATTCTTTGCACGAATTTGTATCTATTTTGTATCAGAGAAATCGTGAAGACAAAATTATTATAATACATATAAAATTACTTGGTTCACTTCTATTTATTTGTGTAATTTATAATAGAATAATTTTTGCATATTTAAATAAATAATAAAATATATAATATTACCATGATAATCAAGAAAATTTTTTACCTAAAATAATTATAACAAAATATGTTCAAATGTACAATAGATTAATGGCTACTTGTAAATGCATACTTTTCAACATATAAGTTTTATATTTTATTTTTGGAAACAGAAAATTTTCTTTTCTTCTACATAATTATTGATAATTAGATCGAGTTAAAAAAAAAAAAAAATATATATATATATATATATATATAATATGAAATATTTTATTTTTGTATAATTGTGCTAAGAATATATTTTGTAAGTCCTTAAGTATGTATTATATTTTAAGCTTTTAAAGAATATACGATATTTGCCACCGATTAATAACACTTTAACGCAATAATTTATAATAATAATCTAACTATTTTTCACAATTTCATTGAATACATATTATACGTAGGAATTATAAAGCACTGTAAATTTGCATAAACTATATCATTACGTGTTAAGCGTGTGAATAAAATCTAACGTAATTTTCCACTGGCATTACAACTTCTTCTTTCAGAATGGCAATCCAACTTTATGTCTTCCTCAGTTGCTGCTTGACATTTTGTAAGTAATTGAAAATTGTTCGACATCCTTCGATCAATAATAATAAAATAATTTAAGTAAAATATTTTAAGTATAAAAATTAAAATAGCCTTTCCAACTACGAATTAACAAGAATTTCATTCTCCAGATGGCCAATTTCATTTTGTAAATGCCAAAGCCTTGATTGGCGAGAATGTGGAAAAAGTGCAAGAAGGCGAGTTCCTATTCGTTGCATCTCTTTTACAAACAAGACCTATGCCTAGCGGAACGATGCATCATTTCTGCGCGGGAACACTCATTTCATCGCAGGATGTCATAACCGCGGCACAATGTTTGGATGGGAAAAAAGCAATTAATTTACGAGTAATTTTAGGATCGGTTGATTTGAATTTCGATGGACATTATTATGTGAATTATTGGGTAACATATAAAAATTGGGCAATAAAAAAGAATATTGTGGTGGACACGGATAAGCACGAAATAGCTATAATACGGGTAATGTTCTTACCTTAATCTTCTTAACAATACCTGAACAATGTAATAATAATATATAATTCTATTATATATATATAATATATAATATAATAATAATATATAATATAATAATAATAATTATAATAATAATAATAATAATTATTATTATTGTTATTATTGTTATTGTTATTATTATTATTATTATTATTATTATTATTATTATTATTGTACGAACAATGTACCTTAACCTTAATAATAATAATTATTATCAAGGCAACAATCAATAGGGGCCAAATTATTAATTAATTAAAAAAACACTCGGATAAATTAAATGTGTTTACAGTAATTAAATTACATTAAAATAAATCATTATTTATAGTGAGTTATTTATGCAATCTGTTATATAACATTATGTGATATTTAATGTATTTGTTTAGTTATCTCGGGAGGTGAATAGTCAAATCAAACCAGCGGTCATCTCCTTCTTATCTCATTCGGAATATGTTGGGAAAGTGGCCGAGTTAGCAGGATGGGGTATATCAAACGATAATGAGATGCCGACGACTATGGAAACCGTGAAAGTGGAAGTTTTATCAAATGCAGAGTGCGAGACTCGATCTGAACGGCTCGGCGCACCAAAATGCCGTTTCCCAGCAAGATATTTGTTCACTGCTGCAAATCCCTATGCCCAATTAAGTTCCGTAAGTAATCAGTCCATGTAGATTTAATAATTAAGTAGAATAGAAATGATTATAAATTGACACTTTAGTGAGTGGCATCGACGTATTGTTTAATTAATACAAGAAATTATGTCATTATTGTATATTTAAGGATGCAAATGAAACGAGAAAATTTTATAATTAAAATCTTTATGGAAAATCATTTTTAAATGTTATTTGACAATAACATTATTATTGTAAAGATGTATAGACGTGCATTATCATTTCATTTAGATCATTACAACATGTAACTTTAATTTATCAATTTTGTCATCATTTTACTTATTTTACATTCATTGTTTGAATAATAATAATAAAACATGATTATAATATCAAATGAATATAATTTGGATATGTAGTAATTATCGTTATATTTAGGAGATTATAAAATTTTATACTTTTCGTCCTTAAAAACCATTTTCATCGCAAACGTGTAATACCATGGTAAGTAATGATAATAAAGATAAGTGAATTGACCTTTAGCTGTTCATATATTATGAATGATGATAATGATAGAGCGAATAATTTTTCGTTAATTTACAACAATTTGCATCGACATGATAAATTATGTATTGCAATTTATACTAATTTATTTTCACACGTTGTTCTTTAATCAATTTGAAGAAAAGAAACTGAAAGAAAAAATAATTAATATAACTACATGCATGATTCTCATTAATCAAACAAATATTTTATAACCACTTACAAATGCATATTTGTTTAATAAATTTTTAGGGAGATAGTGGTGGTCCCCTTCTGCTTAACAAACAGCTCATTGGTGTCAATCACGGAACGTGTCTAATACCCGAGCAAATTTTTCATTCTGAAAAAATAAATCTTCACTTCGGTGTCATGTACTATCAACATTTCATCACAAATATTTTAACGGAATATAAATAAATTTTGTATATTTGAAAGTTATGGATATAAATTAATGTCTACTGTATGAATATGATTTTTTTTTCTTTCTATTTTAAACAATAAAATTATTATTGAAACCTGGCACTCGTTTTCATTACCTATTTAATTAAATCAACCATAGAGACTAATTAAATGTATAATTATATCACCAAATTTTAAGCAAATAACTTTTACAAATGTGATCATTTTATCTTTATTTAAACAGAGATTAAATTCCATATATTTTAACGGTCGATACAAGTAAATGTTTCTTCAGGCCATATAATTTATTAAACTCCTGATTTCAAAATTTGGCCTTCGATAATTCTTTAAGGAAGCGATCGATTACTATAGAAACACTTGCTTATTTTAGAATCTGGGACATATAAGTATTTATAAATCAATCGATACTTGTATAATATTTACAATTCACCATATTTATTAAAACTGTATTAATATAATCTTGTATTTGTAATGAATTACATACAAAAATTTATATATTTCAAGCACTTGATAAAATATTAACCGAATTTATTTATGTTTCTTTACTTATTTTCTTAAGTCAACAATTATCATTTATTATATATTTGCATTATTTGCTTTAAATTGGTATTTCTAATTTTTCTTTACATAATTTTAGCATTTATGTATACCTATTTAAATACAAATTCTCAAAAAATATTATATTTAATATAATTAATTGCATTTAAAATATCATAATTAGGAATTTTGTTTATAAATAAAATATAATAATATATAATTGAAAAGCTTCATTAACAATTTATTTAATACATTGAATTAATTGCTAAATAAATTCCTTTCTAGGTAAATTTCTGAAAAATGAATAAAAAAAAATTTTTGTTATATTACGTTATTAGGGCAAATTAAATATTCTAAATTTATTTGATCACGATGACATATATATATATATATATATATATATATATATATGAATATGTAGGAAAATAAATTTAAATATACATTGGAGTAGCTTAATTTAATAATAATTGTCATTGTAGTTGCATTTGGTTATTTATTTATAGAAGAATTTTTTAAATTACTGACATTTTTATAGTGATAATTGAATATTCTATAAATAATAAATAAAGTCTTGAAAATGTCAAGCCGTTTTTTAAATCCTTTCACACACATACGCTCGATCCCCCCCCC